AGAATCCCCCAGCCAGCATGGCTGGCTGGGGAATTCTGGGAGTTGAAGTCCTCACATCTTACATTGGCCAAGGTTGAGAAACATAGACTTATAGGATTGAATTAACCATCACCCCCTTGGCTTATGGCATGCACATCCCTCCTTCCTGTAATCACTTCAGTTTTCTCTAATTTATCCACATAATAACCTTGTAGGGTAGGCTAAAGAGTCAGCACTGAAGCAAAGCCACTCACTGTTTTTTGCAACTAAAGCAGGCTTCCCTTGCTCTGACATCTAGATCAACCATTCTGCTGAAGCAGAAGGGGGAAAAAAACCTAGAAGATCTTGTCGCTCGGCTAACAAAAAGCCAGCATTTTCCCCAGAGATGGAACTCACTCACAAAAATGGTATCTCTCCTGTAGCATCTTGCCAAGAACTGAAGCATCCCTAGTACTGATTTTTTTTTTCCTCACTTCTCTTTTAGAACACAGCCTAAAAATAAAAGTCCCATTTTACAATCTAATGAATGGTTTACGTGCTAATGAAGGCTAATGTTTGAGCTCTTTCCATTGCTTTGTGAAACTGGCGCATTTTATGCGGTTCCAGACCCTAACCTTGCACATTGCCTAGAGACACACAAGAGGGGGTGTGAGAATGTTGCAAATAAATTCATAAATAAAAGCTTAAGTATCCAGAACCCCCCTCCCTTCCCAAAATGCCTGCAGCTGATCAAAACCCGAACGGATCAAAACCTGATGGAGAAAAGGGCAGCAGGATCCATTCTGGCCAGCCCTAGAACAGAAGAGAGAATCTTTTCTCTCCTACAAGGAATAAAACGCTCTTAGGACCCCAAAGATGCCATCCGGAGGTGAACTTCCCGTCGCACCTCTGTATGAATAGCCGGAAAGGAACGAGGCCAGACTAGATACTCTTTGCCAACCAGCAGATAATTCCACCACGGCCATGCATTCAACATCACTCAGAACATTTGGTTTATTCCAGTGGACAATTGCAGGAGAGGAGGAGAAACATGCGCTCATCACTGATATGGCTCTAGAATCAGGATCCTCAGCTTGTTGTGTGAGGGCCCCGAGGAGGTTGTGAACCCCATTCCAGAGGCCCTCAGTGGGACTACAAAACCATCTAGAACCTTTATGGTTGCTCTGTTCTAGATTAGCCTCCTTGCAGAAACATTGACCTTCAGACGAGAGTCCCAACCAAGTAGAAGGTCATCGTGTGTCTACCAGCAACGCTTAGCTGACCTTGGCTGATCCTGAAAAAGCTAACCAGCATTGGACCGGGTTAGTCCTTGGCTGGGAGACCATGCAAGAAGTCTCAGGGGAGCTGGGAATTTGAACAGGGCAGAAGACAGTGTCAAACTCTGCCTACCCGCTTTCAAGTCAGACTTCTGCTCATCTAGCGCTCCCTTGTCTTTTCTGACTGGCAGTGCCATTCCAGGCCTTTCATATCACCTGCCAGCAGCACGGTAAAAAAGCAAAAAACACTCCTAACCAAGGGACTGAATCAGGAAACTTTTCCACCTAAGTTTATAACCAGGATTGGATTTTGCCCTGGTGTGCAAGAAGAAAAATGGGCCTAGCTTTGGTCAAAAGAAATCGGTAACTCCAAAACAGGTAGACCAGAGACATTGGAGGGCTTTTTAAGCCAGCCCAGCCCTCACGATGCAATGGTTTAAAAAATAATAACAGAATTGGCATAGCCTCCCGTAATGGCAGCGAACTCAAACGCTGGCTTACCCTGATTCCAGCTGCCATCATTCACTGGAAGATACAGCTTTCCTCTCCCACCGCTTGGAAGCCAACCTCTAAGACCGAATTAAGCAGCCAGAAGAGCAATGATGCCAAAGCCCGGGGCAAAACTGAGCAAACCTTTGCAATGTTCTAGCCAAGAAGGGCTCACAGAGATGCAGAGATTTCAAAAAGTGAAGCGACCAAGTTGGTAGCTTCTGAAAGAAATTTCTGAGTTCTTCTCTATCGAGTTTGTAAATTCCTTGGGGCAGAGACCTACTTTTTTAATGTCATTTCATCATAACCATTTCATCCCAATGGTTATGGGACAGGATTTATTCATGCTCAAGCATCATGGATGGAGGAATGTTAACATACATGCAGGTACGTGCCCAAGCTTACTGGGATACCCCTCTCAGCCTTGCTTTTTCCCTTCTGCAAAATGGGAGCACCCTTTGCAGAGCACACTCTTGAAACAGACCGGGCTTACCGCCAAGGCAATAAGCACAGGCCAGAATGCTACTGGAAGGGCTGTAAAAGCAAAAAGATGACATTGTCCCTTTCCCACCCACGTTCCATTCCTTCTGCAATGTTAATTCCTCAGCATTAAAAGAGTGCGATTTAAAAGGATTGCTAAAAACACTCCTTTCATGGCCATTGGCCAGGCAGAAAAACAGAACAGGTTTTTTCCAGGCATGCCAACAAGAACAGCAGGCCAGGTGGCTCAAGAGGGCTTCACCTGATGAATTGCTACCTGTCCTGTTAAAGGCATTCACACCACAAAAATCAAGCAGCAACCTTGGGGAGATAGGATCAGGCTGGGATAGCCACATTCGCCCAGGGAAAAGGAGAAGGCGGCAGGAAATCCAGAATCTGGCTAAGTCCGGGGTTTCAATTTCTACTTTCCAACTACGCCACCGTTGAACATCGAATACCGTTGAGCATAGCATTTTTATAGCAAAGCGAGTCCCACCCGAAGAAAAAACACACTTTTAGCCGGAGCATCAGGAAGACCCGAGTGCAACCCTTTCACTGGAGAAGGAGAAGGAGAAGGAGAAGGAGAAGGAGAAGGAGAAGGAGAAGGAGAAGGAGAAGGGTTCAGATAGACAACTTGCAGCTGGAGAGTCCAACTTCGAAGCCTTACCTACGCCGAGGACAGCCAGCAGCACCACGGGCGGGCAGGGGCTTCTGGCGAGGCACGTCCCGGGCAGAGAAGCGACCATGGTGCCGCCTTCTTTTCGCCAGACTAGCGGAGGTCAGGCCAGGCGGAGCATCCCGAACCTCAAAACCTCCCGCAGCTTTTCAAGCCCTGCGCCGCCGCCCCCCCAGTTAGGGACGAGCAAGGGGGACAGCGATCCCGGGGAGGGGACCGCGCTCGGCTGCAAGATTTCT